ATGATGCAAAATTAACTTTTGACGTTTCAGCAAGATTCTGATGCTGCTTGCAACTTTTCCCATGCATAAAATATTATTTATTGATAAGTATGCCAAATATTTATAATTTATTCGGCCGACGACCCGCATAACTCGTCATCACTAAAGTTATTCGAACATTTAGGGAAACCTGCGCAACTTGCAACATGCCAGATATCAAACGAATAAAACGCGGACGACACGATTACATTTTATTCGAAGCATTTACGGAAGCTTAAGCGGACATAAACTTAAACGGAGTTGGCATGATTTTATAGCGACGGTCTTAAAATACTAATTTGATTGCAATATTTCGCGATTTTGCGATCGCCGATGTGGTTCATCTCAAGTAATTGATAAACTAGTCAAAAAGCACACACAATCTCAACGATGAATAAACTTAAAGCAGGCATAAATTATGGATTTACTATCTATAAACCCATCCATGAAATATTGATGACCACCAGTGATATCTAGGAATATATAATATATAGAATATATCCAGGTATGTTTGATATATAAAAGAAGCAGTTTGTAACAGATAGGGGCAATCAGGACTTCTGCTGGATCTAAATGATTACAAAATATGAAAATTGCAAAATTGCATTTCGATGGTTTTTGAGGCTGAAGCAATTTGCGCGTTTATTGTACGCGCAAAATCCTAAGTGGCATCTGTCAAAACGTCTAAGTAACTAGGCATTATTAACTCGTAACTCTAACCGACATAAATTATTCGACTTCGCACGAACTTTCGCTAGAACAATCACCAAGACGTGTCATGCGATTAAATCGAAGCGGCATATGTGGTGCACGACAACGCGACGTTTCATCGCCGCGAGGAAGAAACGTTCGTGCACGTTGGGTTGTCGACATGCCATCCATTGGTAGCTGAGAAACCAGCTGGCGGCGCACCGTACCTCTTTACCTATACCATAATGGAAAATAACATGTTCGAAATCAATTTTTAGATGAAAAATTGAAATTTAATATTTAAAATTAATTTCTTAATTTATCCGAAACGTTAACTATGTGTGCCTGTGCCGCCTGAGCACATTTCACACGTTGAGCATGCCATTTAAATTAATTGCCGATCATTAAGCGCGGTTTTAATAGCAGTTTCGCGTAATCCACAACGAACACAGCCGTCGTCAAATAAAATTCATCATTTGCATAAGTTTATTATTCGTCGATTTGTCGCCCGCCGCATTCAAACTGTTCAAATGGGTATAAAAACATAAAACAACAATTAATTCAAGTTGATATAATAAAAATAATCAAAAATACTTATTAGGTAAGTGTATGCATTTACATCTTATCGTCATACTCTCACAGTTCTCCGATTTTTCAACTGCACCTAACTAAACCCTCCTGTAGACTTAATGTTTATTTAATAAACACAATCTTTAATTACATTTCATGAACTAGACACATACACAATGACTATCGCTTTCATATCAGGTCCGAAATAATTTCAAAGTTAGCACCAGTCAATCGTACTCGGTTTGTTTATTAAACGCATTGTATATAACTGTGTGCTTATTATTGGCTCGCACATTATGGGCCTTTATGGAAGCACTGTGTAATGCGGACGTAGAGCCGATATTGCATACGTTTACGCGTTACTCTATAAATAAATAAAAAGCGCGCGAAGCGGTCGCAGTAATAAACAATACGTGACTTTGTTGTAACAACAAGATTCAATTAATGCCTCCTCGGCATGCAACTCCAACTCAGCGCGCGCGATATGTAAATAAACGAGTGTGCGAGAGTCTAAGCGCGCGGTGGATGCGAGGATATTGAATGAAACGCAGAAAGCGATCGGAGGAGATCGAGACGGCGCGAACGTGACCGTATCTTATCCGAAACGTCAGTCGAGACCCGAGAGTGATACAGCCGTAGAGCTCTGTATGCTTATTCACAAATACTGTCAACTTATAATAATGCATAATGGAATGCAAAAAAAGAAAATATGCGTGGAATATTAAGACTTGACTAGCCCAATAATAAGATACATAACATTTCACAACATAACCTTACTATTGATATTGATATTGTGCTGTCAAAAGTAACATAACCTAAAATACTAAAATTTTGCATTGAACCTCAAACGACTAATTATTTAATTTTTAAGTTTTAAAATGTATATAATGAATGCAAAATAAGAAAAAAATGTAACATTCCGTAGAAATACGCAATGTTGATTAGCAGTTAGTTATTTGACTACTCAGTAAATATTTTTAATGAAGCGTTTGCATAATTTGAGCAATAAATATTTTGCGAACTAAGTTATACTAAATTAAGAATCTGTTCTGTGTCCAGAAATAGATAATGCTGTTTAATAAGGTCACGCAGTGGGTCATGGTTAATATTTGTCAAATCAGCAAGTTTTTCGGTTATTTTCCGCACAATTTTTCAAACAAAATCAAAATATTCGCAAATTTCAACCATAAAATTACCTTCAATAAACTAAACTACCTTATCTCATACTATAGGTATGTATTACTATATAGTAAATCTTTGACACGCTTATCTCGAACTGATGCCTTTTTCTTGGCCTGTTTATTCAAGTATTTACATTTGTTGCCTACGCTTGACTGAGTTGCACGGTATTGTCATCTCTTTTGTTTTATTTTCACATCTCTACGAATATTAATTTTTTACCGGCCTACTAGTGTTAGTAAGTTGGAAGTTAATGAATATGCGAAACGTGCAACAGAAGAAAACAGCTCGAAGAAGTGTACGACGCAAAAACGCAAGAAGGAATTAAAATTTCATCATGGAAACACGGAAAAAACGAAGCGTTTAGCTCGTGTCTCCATCAGCAGAGTCACGGCGAGCGTAATACTTTGTGAATTTTACGAGTACAAATAAAAATATTAATTAAAATGTCTTCACTTATCTTTAATTTCTTGGTAAATTCAAATATTTACGAAGTGCGAATTTTCAAGATGATCTACAACTAATGATAATGAAAATTTGACCTGTTTAATTTAACTACATCTATAAATACTTCTTAGTATTTTTAATTTATTAACTACGTGGTTAAAGTAAAAGAAAATGTCGATTCTAAACAAAACGATTCACATTCATATTCAATCTGCTATTTTCCACATGAATGCGTAATTTTACAACACAAATTAATAAAGAGAAACATTTAAATACAATACAGGTACAGATGGTGCATCTATTGTAACTGATGGCATATGCAAAGCTGCGAAAATTTTAAATATTTAATAGTCCTCTAAATATGTTGATAAAACATGAGATTTTACGACTACGACAGTTTCAACAAGATCTTTACTTATATAGTCGACGAATTAATTATACAAGAAAATTATTGTATTCCATGTGTAAGTTCTTTGTTTAATTTCGACTTATTCAACGCCATGAGATGTTAATAGTATGAAATATACCATTTTATTTCTTTATAATTGCTGGTGAACTACCATAACTTTGTTATTATGAATTTATCAGATATTTTGCACCTATATAAACCCGAATAGGGAGATTTTCAGAGGTCGACACAAACATAAATTATGCAATATGTGCATTGCATTTAATAAAATTTAATAAAATCATTTCTCTGTTACACAATATATAAATTTGGCATAAGTGGATAAAATATGAGCATCTAAACTCATTTCGACTTCTACATACCTACTAACGAATAAATTTGAATACGTTCACAACGTAACTTGAAGTAAACAAATTTTCTATATTTCTAGATAAGAATTTTTCTAACTATTCTCAACATTTTTGTCATTTGTTTATATTCGCTTGGAAAGTTCGCTGACACAAACACGATGCTTGACGAGTGGGAAACATATTATGATCCCACTCGGAATGGAATGATTTCTTAGTCGATTCCGCAAACACGTAAACCGGCAGAGCGCTGATTCCAATAAGAAAAAGATGCAAATCGTGGATGCTTGCGCACGGCACAGGCGAAACGTGGAGAGTATTTAATAACCCCGACCGCCCAACAGCACCGTTGGTAACGCAGACCAAACCTGTTCGGCGAAACACTGTACGAAAAACGCGAGAGCAAACTATGACATGTGAGATGTGCGTATTAGTGAAGTCCGCGCGCATGAGAAGTCTGCAGCGCATATTTTTTCTTCGGTTTTGTTTAAACCTACGCAGAAACAAAACAAAAACTCTGAAAATGCTTGCAAAAGCGAAGAGCGTGACAACAAAAGCTCACACCCAATGATTACAAACATCATACCCATTTATTAATGGATTCCTGAGCTTGTAAATGAGTTGTGCGTGTTTAGGAAGTAGTAATATGCTTAGATTACCTAATTTTACGTTTTTGGGCAAAATTTATATAATTTGCCAGTGAAATATGATAATTATATCACTGCTATGGAAGTATGTTTAAAGCAAACTAGTAATCAAGTATACAATTCTTATCAATTTGTTAGTATATAGCTAAATAGTTTTTATTCAGTTCCTGAACTGATTAAAATACAAAATTTCGCTATATATGCAAGCAGTTAGTGAAATTAACACATGTATCGGCACAGTAGCGCCAACGAATGTTTGGAATCTATTTGGCGAGCAAGATATTATTACATTTCTGTTACTATGTAGTGGCGAGTTGACTTAAAGCTTAACTCGCGGCGACTGCGTCGGCTTAGGTTGGTTATTTTGGTGAGTTAAGTATGTACGCAAAACGTCAAGCGCCGCTGATCTTGCTAGGCGGACTGCGCGTTGAGTGTTAGACGATGTGTGATTTTTCCACGTGCTATCGAACTAGACTTTTATCGGACGTCTCTAAACCGCGCGCAAAAAAGCGCACTATCTTATCAATTATGTATACATCCAGGAAAAGAAACAAGTAACATTGAGAAGGATAGACATACTCATTAAAGTATCAGTTATTATGACATTTGAGGGCAATGTAACTGTTTGCATGATTAAACACAGTTACAAATTGTTTTGCGAGCTTCCTTGATTTTAAATTAAAGACGACTTACCCACTGATTTGATGCTGGTGGATGAAATGGCAACGACTTCGCCGTTGACTTTATCAGAGACGGCTTGCGTAGTGGAGCACTGCGAGGAGGCGGGTGAGTCACAGTCGATGCTTCGTTCTATGGGAGCTCCTGCACTGCCGCCGCCGCCGCCACCAGCGCTCGGACTGCTACCGTTGTTGCCGAGGAGCGGGTGTTGCGAATGATGAATCGGCGACGGACTTTTCGGCATGAAATTGCTACTGGTTTTCATCATCTGTTCGTCTTGTTGTTGTGCGCGTCGTAATGCTGTCTGCATTGCCATCACGCGCTGACGTTCAGAGGTGAGTTTACATTTCTCGCACTTGCAGGAGCGGAACTTGCAGAAACGCTTGTGACTCTTCAGTGGGATCTTCAATCGATGGTTTCGACAACGTGCGCAGTTTGGTGGTGTGCGTCGAGATGCAGAGGTGGATGAAGCATTTACCACGGCCATCTTTGAGTCGTATTCTGATTGCGAATCGGACATTTTTAGTTTATTGTTTTCTAACACTTGATATGATCAATGTCACAATGTATATTTTAGTAGAGTTGTGTTAAGTCACTTCCCGAATGCACACACGTGGCGATGAATTATGATCACTGAAGCGACGGCTACTGGCACCAACTTATACACACGCAACACGCGGTGTGAGATGCAACTGCACACATTCACACCAGACCAAAAGTGTAACACAATGTAACTGGTGTGTGGGTAGCTTGCCGCCGCCGCCGCCGCCAACGACCCGAGAAGCACGATCCACTACCGATGTCGGGGATTCAGTACGCGCGCAACAGGTTAGACGAAAGTTTTCCGCGGAGCGCTTCGCTTTTGCCCTAAAAGCACAAAAGCACTATAGCACTATAGGCCCTAGACAACAATTTACCACAACACCACGCGCGCGAATCTCAGAATTGATGGTGTAACAACTGGTTGCGTTCCTTCCAGGGGTTTGCGGTGTGCTGCTCCTGCGAGAGCGTGCGTCCGATTTGTGTTCAATTGATTGACGGATTGCATGCAATCGCCGCTCGCATGATACAAGCACAAAAACTGCTCGCAATTTGCACGGTGCGAAACCGTCGGACGAAAGTACCTAAAGGCAAACCACCGCGCGACGAGTGTGTGAAGTGCTGCGGAGCGCTCTGCTCGGCCTGGTCGGTTCCACGCTTCTGTCAGGACGAAATTCAACTGCCAGTCTTGCGAGGCCGCAGCGAAGTGAATTGGCGTGTGTGCAGTGTGCGCCCGTCGTTGCACCGCGCTGCACCGTACTGCAAATTGCACGCCGCGCAGCAGCGCCGCCCGCGGCTGGGGGCAAAGGGTACGCGCCGTTTACGACTCTAGTCGCTCCCATTCCACCACGGTGTGTCGTGCCGACAGCGGCGGTGGGGGCAGACCGTCGCATGCGATCGGTTGCATCGGCGGTTGCATGATGCAGGAAAACGCGCAAACTTCAATTTTGATATCTGCATGCATATTACTATTGCACATACAATTATAGATGAAATCTATTTAAACCACTGATTTGCACGTTTACAAAAGCAAGTAAGTTTTGTTTTTATTTTAACATCAACTACTTTTAAACTGTGATGAAGCAATTGTTTCTATTTGTGAGGTTAGAATTGCAACACCGCGCTGAATTTCAAGGTTAGTATTTTACCCGTGCTTAACAATAGATTCTAAATCACAGAATATTCACATTCTTTCACGTTTCAGCAATGGGGAGGCATTTTCACCACTTCCAAGCAGAAACAGGTTAACATGTCTGGATTTGATTCATTACAATAAATCCATAAATCATCAGCAATTATAATTAAATATAATTTAATTTATTTGTTCAAGGCTACAGTGTGAAACAAAAAGGCCCGTATTAGCATATTGCGTGCATCTAGAATGCACACCGATAACTACATCTGCCACAACAACTTATATTTGCAGTATACTATCTGAGTCCGTGCGTATAAATATATATACATCCACATCCGACAAATTTCCGTAAGCAATTGCCATGAAGGTATAACTCAACTTTGCACAGTTAGACGCGCTCGCCGTGTGCTTTAAAATGCGTGCTCACACCTCTCGCTTGCAGGTTGATATTGCTTTTTTTGTTCTAGGTGTGTGCGTTTTTCAGCGCTTTTTGCCCGGGTAGCACAGCAGCGCTCACAATGCAAGTGTCGGGCAACCTGTGCGTGTACGTTGTTGGGTGCACGCACATCGTCCATCCATCTCCGGCGTCGTTGACTGTCAATCGGCAGAAAGCTCGTCCAGGCAATATGACGGCATGCGACGGCAGGATGTGGGCTAAATGACCTCTGTTGTTTTTGTTTGAGAGACGTATATAATTAATTTGCGTTTGCGTTACGACTCTATTTGGAGTAATATATTTTATACATGGCTGTGGTGTAAAGTCAATATATGATCTAACTACTAACCAGCGACAGCAATAAATCGTTAGGAGTTAGTTATTAGGTGTTTCTGGATGTCATATTATTAATTGGCATGTTGAGTTGTCAACATGATGAAGTAGGATCTTAATATATGATCTTTTCTTGTTTTGCATATGGTGACGATATCAAAACCATTGCAACTTTTTTAACTTTAATTCAACTCAGAACAAAAACATATTCATGCATTTTAAAAACTAGTACTTGTGAAATTCCAGCGTAGAACTTACTTTGTAGTTTGTATAAAACTCCAGGAATCAGCAATGCGCGCTGTTCTCGTGGGCAGTCGCTGGTATTAAGACCGTTTAACGTCTCCCCTCATGGGAATGCGCGCGGAGCAATGACGAACGTGCAAGCGAGATAATGATTTCACCAACCAAGATGAAATAATTTAACGATGTCGCGTTAATGTAATTAAGAACGGTGCTCGTAAAGTACGCGACACGAACGCATCGCACATCTCATTGTCTTTCGTTTTGCATTAGTTCCTCATGTGCTGCGATGATGACAGACATCACTACGTTCCCTATCAAACAGGACATTGCGGCGGCTCAATGGCTGCGGTAAATGGGCAAAGAAGAAGTAATTACATTCTTTTTTGAAACAGTACGAGGGTTTAGTGCTTTAGTCTTTAATTCTTATGTAATGGGAAATAATTACAAATATTTCCGCAAATCCGTTCAATGTTTTAATGAAAATCACATATTTTCACCACTAACATGAATATAGTTAGTAGATTATTTTAGTTTTTGCCGGCTTAGAGTCGATAGAGATGATTTTCTTGATTTTTGCTCAGTAATGAGGAGTAGAAGATATTTAATATGAAATATGGCACTTACTGAAGACATCAACGTAACGTTTAGAATGACAGTTCGGTAGTTTGTCTCTTGCATTTCGGTGAGCGACGAAACCTCATCGAATGTGCACTGTGCACATGCTGGTGATAATTCGCACGTCGGCTACGCCGATAAAATCCGTATCTAATGACGCGGTCGAGAATGGGCGGCTACACCGTCGACACACAACGATGAGAGCTAAAAACGTAATCCAAACGAACGCCAACGACACAGCGATAGTTTCTTTAAGTATGCACTCTCACAGTCTCCACTTCCGTATTGTAATATATATGAATCTAAATTCCAGGACATTCTGTGACTCAACATTTGTGAATATTTCCGTTTTACGCGCTCATAATGTGCAATCAATTGAAAAACACTTACTCTACACTCTCGAATAGAATTTACATGAATGTCAACCTCAAAGAAGAATAGTTCACGAAAGGAAAAAATAATTCGTTGCGCTTTATTTGGTTTTATGTATTTTTTAGTACAGTAAGCAGTCCATGGGAATGAAAATGTTATTCTGGCTATATTCATATTCAAAGTTTTATTAGTTTTAAAATATTGAGATTCTTGTGTGGTTCACGCTCATTAAAAGCGGCATTGACTTTGTGAGCGATCTTTTAGTGTGTTTTTACAACTTGTCAAAAACTTGCCGAACGGGTCCCGGATTAGGTGTCGGCAGCCCTAAATAGGGAGCACCCTTAAGACGTCACCCTAAAAAGTGGCACGCTCCATTTAGTAAGCAATTACTTTCCTAAACCCTTAAGGTTTCAATATACACATGTTAACCATCTCGCTATACTTCCGACATTCACTGTTGTTATGTTTTTACTTGTAGTGGCCGCTTGTCGATTGGTCCACGAATACTAAAACATCAATGCTGTAAAAGGGACATTAAAACGATTATTATTGCGATTTGCGTAAGGGGAAAGTTGCTTCCCCGTGTGTCTGTGCTCAATGCGTCATATCTTTAAAAGTCACTTTTTTATGCGCACAACATTAATAAACAGTAATGAACGCACAGATGTAAAAAAATAACACACAGCCAAATTGCTTTTGTTGGGCGTCCTTTGTCCTTTTGTTACTCGCATGCAAGACGTGCGGCTATAAAACGCGCGAAACTTCAGTGACACGCTAAAGAAATCAATGTGCCATAGTGAAATTTTACTAGTTGCTTTGTTCCACTTTGTCTGGCGTGGTCGCGGCGCAGCAGAAGTTCGAGAAGTGGATGTTGGAAATGCGGAGCATCAAAAAGTCATAAACCGCGTGAGGTTGTAAATCACGCGTTTGTCGAAATTGTACATTGTCGTCAGAGAATTGTAGGCACTTGAAGAGCAATGATATAAAGGGTGTCACGCTGTGAAGCGCTGAATCATATTCGAGCGTTTTATAATTTATTATTGTATTAATTTAGATTTTGTAATGTAATATTTTATTTCTTTCGCAGAAGAAGAGAGGAAAAGAAAATAAGTGAAACAAGGCTGTTTGTGTCTGTTTTTCTAAAGAAAAGAAGAAGATTGCTCAAGAGTGCAAATTGTGTTTGTTTCAAATGTGAAATGCAGCAAAACATAAGCCAACTTGAAATACAATGGTAGGTAGTAGCCAACTTATAGACATAATCTAACCTATTATATGAAATTCAATTTTTTATGGTTAAAACGAATTAGTTAATTATCTAATGTTGTGTGTAGATTTGTTGGGAATTTACTACTTAATTTAATTTTAATTTAATACGATTAATGTACTCAGTACTTTCGAATCTTTCCATTTTTGGATTTAATTTGTTTCGGAAAATTGAAGATAAAATTTAAATCAAATGATGAAAAGTTAAAATGTGGACTTAAAGGACTCTAATTGTAAATTATGATGGGATTTAAATTCAATCTATATTTAATCGCTTACATTTTTAACGCTCATATACCAATATACAACATACCAATGATCCTGGTAAAAAATCACAAACTAACAGAAAGTACATGAACAACCATCACAGACTTCATTAGCAATTACTTCGCATCAATATGAATCGAAAACATAATTACCGATTATAATGAATATGCATACTATTACTACGGCACTTGCAACGACAATTAGTTATTATTGACAAACGCGCCAATTGAAGCTGACTGCAACCATCTATAATTGTTTGAGTACTTTTTTATTTACGGCCACGCTGGCTTCCTAATTAAGCAATTATGCACGATAATCGGCGCATTCTCATAAGAACTAATAGAGTAAGTTATTACTAAGATACTGATTGCGATTTGTTTCTTTCAAAATGTCAAAGGTTTATGTTTACCTGCACTAGAGTTTTGTGGTGTTAAAACAGCTTTTAAACATGGTTTAGTTTTTTGGTTTTTACCCTATTAATATTGGAAGCAATACGTTTAATTTAATTTTTGACTGCAAAATTTTAAAATATCATTTTGAACAATTAACTAATAATTTACCGGCGAATATAACGTTTGATGTGTGGTAACTTGCCGTTATAGCATTACTAAGAATGAAAACGTACAGTATATTTTTGATTAGCGTTTAACAGCTTAATTAAATTAAGTAAAATTATTAGAAATCCCAGTGGCCGTAACCGCAGGCGTGTCAACACAGAGGAATAACGCGAATGCATGTATCAACCCCTCGAATACTGTAGCAATTACCAAATTTATGTCTATTTTTAAAACTAAATGTTACGGCAATTCTTAGTACTATTTACATAAGGAATCGTAAAAGGCAAAAAATCTACACCCATTACAACATCGTTAAAATAAGTTATTTTTGCTTATTTTTAAGAAAACGTAAAGAAATTAAAATCACAACGTAATTAAAACCATATTACAATTATGATTGGTTTATAAAACATTTAAAAAATCTGTTTTTTACTACTCATCCGTATTGTATGAGACTATTCTTAACTACCGACTTAGATCTGCATTATTTATTTGTTGATAGCTACATTAAATTTATCTAAATTA